TCACTTTCCTGTGGGTCCTGCATGTCCAGTTTATATAGCATAAAGTCAAACAGACATGAGCAGTATCTTGTCCAAATGGCTAGTCTTGCCATATTGAAAGCAAACTACATAACACATTTCTTCAAGGTCCATTTTCCTTTCTGACGCAGGTGGTGTTGCCAGGAGCAGTTGTGCCTCACTGTTAAAAAAAACCCTAAACCATTTTAAATGCCATATTCTGTAGATTTGAAGAATGCCTGTCCATCTCAAATACATCTTTTTTTTGTTTTTGACTTTAAGAATTTATTCTTTGTTTTGTTTTTTTTAATTTATTTTATTTTATATAACCAAGTCCAATTAAATGAAAACAAACATTTATACACAATATTTGGGAATTTGGGCATTGTTCTTTCCAAACTACTTCCTGCTGGTAAGGGGCGCTGTCATGGGGGATTCGAAGAAGATTCAGAAATCCTGGCTGTAGTCTGTAAGGCTGCTTTGTCCAGCTGTTTTGAATGTAGGATCACCTTGTACTCTCAAATACATCTTGAAAACCTAACTATCATAGGTAACTATCTCTAATCTCTACTAAATTATACATTATATTTCTAAACACAATACCTAAACAAGAGGAGAAATACACTTATTACAAAATTGACCTTAAATTGTATCAATAAATGAAAATCCATTTTAAAACAAAGTATTCATATCTATACCATAATCCCCTTTTTACCTTTAAAAAGAATTGGTTGTGATCATTAACCATTTATAACCAAGTCCATTTAAATGAAAACAAGCATTTATAAACAATATTTGGGAATTTGGGTGTCATTCTTTCCAAACTGCTTCCTGCTGGTAGGGGGCGCTGTCATGGGGATCCTAAGAAGATGCAAAAATCTTGGCTGTAGTCTGCAAGGCTGCCTTGTCCCAATTGTACTGCTTCAGGGGGTCTTGGCTTGATCAAACCATGTTAGTCTGGAAGGAATCCACAGCTTTTTATTTTCTGTGGAAACAAAAATAGAAATCCTTTTTCCCAGTAACCTGTCCTTGGACTTAAAATTTGAAGTCAAAGCATTTTTAAAATATATAAATTGGATTAATTCAGAAGCATTTAACAGTTGTTGCTATTTCCTCAGCAGTCAAACAATTTAAAGATAACAGAACAACATGTAGTATCCAGACTCTTTGTGCTTTCCATCTTTATGTGGCTTTTTTATTATTCTATTTCTTTTACTTCTATTTTTTCATTTTTTTGAGACAGGGTTTCTCTGTGTAACTTTTATCTGTTCTGGAATTAACTCTGTATACCAGGTTTACTTTGAAATCAGAGATCTGCTTGCCTCTGTCTCCTGAGTGCTGGAATTAAAGGCATGTGCCACCACACCCAGCTACTCTTTCTTTTTATTATTCTTTTTAAAACTATTTTATCCTGTTTCTTTTTCTCTCCCAAGCCTATGTATATTTTAAAACACACTGTAAACCTTTAGCGGTTTTTCTTAATCTGTCTTTACTGTAAATCTTTATCTTTTTCAGGCCATGAGTCTTTATCTGGTAAACAACAACATTGCTAAAATGAAAGCCACAGTTCTTTCAGCTGCGGTCGATCCAAGATGATGGCAGTGGGTACCTTTACCGCCAGAATTGAGAGCTGGGCTCACTGCCATCCAGCAGCATGCTGCTGGCTTGGAGATGTGGTCACTGCCATTGCCAGCTCTCATACACACCCATTAAGTTGTTAGCAGAGCTCTTTAAAAGCCTTGCAGTCTTGTTTTTGTTTGTTTGTTTTTTGGCTGCTTATGCTGAGTCAGAAAACCTCCCTTAAAGGAGACAAGCAAGTCTCTGCTTGTCTCTAGCAAAACAGAGTCCAACCGAGAAAAATGCTGTTATTAAGATGTCTTGTTTCTGTTCTTTTGTTTCTAAAACCCTTTTTAAAGCTTTTGTTAAGTTTAAAGTGAAAGTTCTCAGTAGCCGAGTTGAAGGTACCATTTTGTTATGTATTGGTTTCCCAACCTGGTCCCAGAGCTGGGTCAGCCCCAAATAACACACAGAAACACTGTATTAGATATAATGCTGTTAGCCTGTTATTAGCATTTCTTATTGGCTAGCTCTGTCTTAAATATTAACCCATTTCTATTAATCTAAATATTTCCACATGGCCTTATCTTACCAGAGGGCCCAGTTGGTCCTACATCTTGAAACTCCTCCCTACTACTTCCTGAATCCTCCTTATCTCCTAGCCCTGTCTATCTTGCTTATTCATTAACCAATAGGAGAAACATATTTACAGAATGACATCTCCCATCAATTGGTAGAGAAGTAAGAGCTCTCTGGTGGCTTGGCTGCTTAGCTTCTCTGAATCTTCATCTTGAACCCCAACATCAGACTCATGCTACACTAACCTGGTAGCTTTCCTGGCGTTCCAGTCTTTGTTATTCTAGATAATCCAACAAAGTACCATGCCCTCCTGGCTTTTTTTGTGGATTCTGGGGATTCAGACTTCTATCTACTGATCTCAGACATTGCAATTCTGTTAGTATGTAAAAACCCAAAAGTTCACCACAATCTATAATCACACTTTTCTTCTACTAAGCTCTTACATTACTATGACTTGAGCTGTGTTCTTTGTATGCATTTACCTTAGACCCCAGAGAATGTTACTACATCATCCTGGGATCTGTCTTTCTTCCCTCACAAAGCCTTGTCAAGATTACCTCAGAACAACTGTATTTTCTTGAATGTTAAACACACAGGGTTGTTCAAAGGGAGGAATGCACAGCCTGATAACATGTCTAGAAGGCTCAGAGGAGAAATGGTTAACAGCCTGGTGACATTTCTGCCCTTGGCTGAGACCTTGGGTCATCTCTAGGACTGTTATCTTGAGCTGAGCTTGTCCTAACGTTATGGAAGATGTCACATGTTCTTTATCATGTATTATGCACACAGGGTTAATTATCACCAGGACATTTTTCACCAAATTGTGTTGTGCATAAATATGCATAAAATAACTGCTCATAGTCAGGTTTCCAAATTTGAACCTATACCAGCTACTGCATCATGTTGAACGAAGTTATCTTCTTGCCACCCACGAATTGTTACTCTGCTGGCTGTGGTGGTCAGAGATTCCCCCACAACTAAACAGTATTTCAAAATATGCTTTCCTTACTTTATCCAGGTTTTCCTCCCTAAAATTAATCTTATTTATTTCCCTTTATAAAATTTATTTTTTGTTTTTTCAAGACAGACTTTCTCTGTGTATCTTTTGCTGTCTTGGAACTCTGTAGACCACGTTGGACTCAAGTTTCAAGAGTTTCTGCCTTTCAAGTGCTGGGATTAAAGGTGTATACCACCACCACCCTTTGTATATAAGCTTTCCTATTGGTATGTAAATTTGATATCTGAATCTGTATTTTCAAATCCCATTTGCATGAAAAATACCAACTTATTAATACACATTGTCATTAGCTAGTAACTAAAAACTTTAATTTTCTTCTTTTTGGATTTGAGATAGGGTTTCTGTGTGTGATAACCCTAGCTGTCCCAGACAGAACTAGCTTTGTAAACTAGGCTGGCTTCTTAATTTTCTTTATGACAATTTTAAATCAGTAAATTCTTTGTTTCTCTGCATTCTAAGTACCTGCAGTATTAAAAAATTTAACCTACCCATAAACAGAAGACTACATTATTATCCCACACCAACAATAAGTGCATAGCAAATGTGAAAGAATGATCAAACACAGGTAATCTCAATAATGAAGGGAGAAAATTTTATTCCATATATTTCTGTATATTTGCATTCTTTTACAACATAAATGTATTTATGAATTATTCATATAAATTCATTTTTAGAAGGCCTAATGGGGTCCAGTCAAAACAAACTTTCTATCATTGTTTCCAAGTTAATCAAAATTATTTAAAGTTCTACGTCTTGTCAAATAATTTCTAATTTTTCTGTTTTGCCTGCCCCATTATTCACTGTAATCTACTTTCCTCATAATTCTAGTTCAGAGTATTAGTAAGGTTTAGATAATATCCTTTGTATCCACACCAATAAATGAATATGTACTGCAGCAATGGACACTTTGTATTGCTATTACTGGCACTCATTGGAGAAGTGGCTAAAGGTTGCCCTTGGATGCTCAACAGAAAAATCTGTAGTCTATAAAAATAGAGGGCTGGGGATATGGCTCACTTGGTAGAGTGCCTGCCTAGCCTGCAGAGCCCTGGGTCTGATTTTCAGCACTGTATAATTCGAATGTGGGCAGTAGGCTCAGAAATTCAAGGTTGTCCTTAGCTACACAATGAGTCTCAAAACAAAATTAAGAACAAATCCCTAACATCCAGATACTTAGGCACCAACTATAAAGACTTTTCAACCTATAGGGTTGTTTATGTATGAATGTATATGTGTGTGTATATGTATGTACGTACACACATGTACATATGTACATGTCTATGTTGGAGCCAGAGGTTTGCTATAAGCTGTCTTCCTCAATTGCTGGCTCACCTAACGTTCTAAGACAGGATCTTTCCCTGACACAGGATTAACAGACTCTGTTAGGCTGGCCAGCCAATGGACTCTAGGATCTGTGTGAGTTCATTTCCTAGAACTGGCATTACAATCCTCCTGTGTCTTATAAAAACTGGCCCTTACAAGTGTGCAGTTTGCACTTTATTGACTGAACCATCTCCCCAGCCCAAGCCTATAGTTTTACAGGAAGCAAATATTCTTCAGAAATACCTCCTCCCAACTTGATGAGTGTTCATATAAATTTATGTTTACAAAGTTACATTACTTTGAATATTATAGAATCTTACAGAATGTAAAAACCAAAACCCCAGAGTTAAATTAGGGCATTGAAATAATTTTTGATGGATGTTCAAAAGCACCAAAACCATTAAAAATAATGTGTAAGTTGGTCACAAGTGTACATCTTCCCACAATGGTGTTTGTAGCAGACAATGTTCCTTGGAAATAGCTACACACTGATAATATAGGGGACAGACTAAAAACAAGTAGCAAATAAAATTCTGATGTTTATTTACTAGACAGACTTTAGCAGCTCAGTTTTTGACTGGCTTTTAAATAGGGCAATTTAATTATACTGGTCCACTTAGCAAACAGATAGATACAGACCTTATCAAAGATTTTAAAGATGGTCAACACCAGTTAAGCATCTGGTACATGAATATAATACACACTGAAAATCTCCCCACAGGTCACGAAAATCTTGAGGTGATTTACGGATTTGAAATGTCTCCATTTTAGTGAAGTATGCACAGAGGTTTATCTTAAGAACAGAAAAACTCTTAAATAAAAATTTACAAGACAACTGGCTTTTGATGTCACATTAAGAAAATCATACTTCAAGCTCCAGAGTATGTGGGGCCATAAAACCTGATTATATGATAAAAATCCCAGTAAGTAAATGGCTTATTGATAATCTCAGATTCAATCTAATCATCCAAGAAAAAGTAGTTTCCACTCTTCTTTTGTTCTACATCCTGAAAAAGAAGAGAAGTAACAAGAGTCAGAACAGTTTCCTCCTTGAAGCTATAGCAGTCTATACAGTTACTGAGCAGTGCTTATCTATCAGAGCACCTCATAGCAGCTTACGGAAGGCCTATCTACCCAAGATGCTTTACATTTAAGAGACTTGTCATCTATTGAAATATTCTTGGGGAAGCTTCAATTCCATCTTTAAGCTCCTGGTACAAAAGATAGAATACTGTCAGCTTGAAAATTGCTCATTATATAAGATATACTTAGAACAGATTTTTCTCAAAACTCATCTACCTGCTTGGCTTCTCTCATTATGATTATGTTCTATGATGACTCAGTACACAGAAGAAGCTTTATTCATTTTAACTATGTCTTGAAAAACAAACAAAAAAGAGAAACTGCTTAAAAGTATTCTTAAAAATTTCATCAATAAAACTCCATTAATCTACTTTCAGTGGCACACAGTAAGGTTCCTCCAATTAGATTTACTTTATTCTTTTAGAGACAAAGTCTCACAGCCCTGGCTGTCTGGGAACTCGCTCTGTAGACTAGGCTGGCCTTAAACTCAGATCTGTCTGCGTCTGCTTCCTGAGTGCTGGGATGAATGGCACGTCCCGCCACTTGTGCCAGATTTTAAGGCAGTTTTAAATAGCACATACAGATTAATAGATGAGAATAGCAGATACATTAGAATTGTTGCCTGCAACAAGAACACCACATGTAAACAAGGAAAAAAATACCTCTGAGAATCAATAGATATGGTATAGACTTTTAAGAAAAAAAGGTTACAATGGTAGGAGTTATCTACATACCTTGATTGAATTGAGTTTATTTATTCGTGGTCTGTAGTTGTTGGGATCTCTTCTGAATGTAATTTCCAGTTGAGACAAAAATTTGTTCATGCCAGCCAAAAGGGTTTGAGGACTAGGGGAAAATGAACAATTTTCATTAAATTTGTTTAAGTCCCTAGAATCCCTACACATCATTTGGATGGTCACATTTCTGTGTAAAACAAACACAATATGATCTGTATTTTTGATGTTGAAAAGAAATTAAGACATAATTTATTGATTTTTTTTTCTTTACATAACTCCAGGTTGAAGGCATGGCTATGTACCATGTTAGGGAAGCACTCATATACTAAGTTATTGTCACAGCTCCAGAAGTACCACTGACTAAAGCTAAGTTTCCATTAAAAACTTTCCTGCTTTTGACTTTTATACCCAAGCTAATTTCATTTTTTTAAAAGATATTTAGAGTTATACAGTTGTAAGCCATCATATAGGTGTTGGGTAATGAACATGGGTCCTCTGGAAGCACAGCCAGTGCTGTTAATCACTGAGGTCATCTCTCCAGCCCCCCCAAAATAATTTTTAAGTTACTAAATAACGACAAAAATGGAAACATTTTAAAGCATTTTGCAAACTTAAAATAAAGATCATTATTGAAGAAACAAATTTTACATATCTAAGGAATTTCCTGAAAGGAACAAATTCTTAATAACTGATAAAAGCATTTAGCATGAAAACAAAAGAATTTGGGGGTGCATGGTACTTTCTGTTTTGTTGATACAGGGTTTTACTATGTAGATATGGTTATCTTGGAAAACACTACTTAGGCCACACTGACCTTGATCTCATAGAAATCCATTGGCCTTTGCCTCCTATGCTGGGATTAAAGGAGTATGCTACCATACATGCTGGCACTTCCATGGGCTCAAAATGTGCTTATATGCTGGTGATTTCATAAGGAACAACTCAATGTAGGTTTATCACTAATGGTAAAGTAATATCTCATCAACAGACCTAAATTTTGGTTTTCCCTACAGTATGATTAATCTAGTCAGAACTACTAAGAGAAGGTAAAACAATACACTCAAAACTCTTGTGGGCCAGTGTCCTGTATTTGGCATCTACTGTAACTTTAATGTAGTTAGACAGGTCATTACTTCTTGGATTTTATTCAGCATAAAAAATTAAGTTTGTAAGGATTATCTATAAAAATATTTATTTTTTGAATATTAATAATCAACTAGATAGGGAAAAGAAAAAACAAAACAAAACCATAAGAGGTCTAGGGCTCTGTAAGATTATCTACCTGGGTCAAGTATTCTATACTAATCTAGTATTCAGACCCAATACAGTATTGTATAAGAATAATCTAGGGAGTTAGTAAGAAACTGACTTATTAGTTATCACCTTCAAAAAAAGCAATAGGACTTCAGTGCTTGTGAGCTTATTGGAAATTTAGAATGTAGTAAGTTTCCAATTGTCAGAACTTATATTTCTGAACATTTAGGAAAGCATCTTTACCTGTTTGCAACTGTGTTCTTAGATGGAACACCATCAAACACGATGACACGATCTGCTAGATAGGTGGCCATGATGAAGTCATGTTCCACAACAAAAGCGGTCTTCTTTGCATGGAGTATGAAACTGGAACACAACAATTTGTAAACTTTTCATAGTTTTTAAGTCATCAAACGAGATACAAGTGTTTTAAACTTTGTATGTTAGTATACACAATCAAAATTATTATTCTAGAAGACATTTACCGTTTGACGACCCGGGCTGCCATTAATCGCTGCTCAGAATCCAAATATGCAGATGGTTCATCAATTAAATAGACATCAGCAGGTTTGCCCAAACAAAGAGCTAAAGCTACTCGCTGTAGTTCACCACCAGACAATGTCTGCACCTAATTGGAGAAGTTTAGGAAAACATGTAAAGTCAGCCAAAGTCGGAAATAATGACACACAAAGAACTGTATGGGTAACTTTACAGTACCTCCTGATCAATGATGTTTTCAATCTGTAGGGGCTTCATCACATCAGTTACAAACTGTGGGTGAGTGTAAGCATCTCTGATCTTTTCATGCAGTAACTGGCGAACACTTCCCTAGTTTTGGTGGAAGAAAGTAAATGATGAATTACCAGGAAAGAACTTTTCTGTTTATGAATTTTAGTACTAAACTTCAGAACAAAATGACTTCAATTTGCCACCAATATATATCAGTTCTAACTTTTTTCTTCTTCTGAGACAGGGTCTCACTGTCTCAGCTAACCAGGCTGCCTCCAATTCAGATAGCGGCTGGCTTCTGCCTCTGAGTGTTGGGTTTGATGGCTGAGTGCACACTACACTTGATCAATTTTAGTTTTAATCCCTATTCACCATCTGGCTCATGTATGAGGCTTTCTACATACATGTACAGCATTCATATACATAAATAAGTAAAAAGGCAATAATCTAGGAATTTAAAAGAAGAAATTAAATGAATGTTTCAGGGAAGAAATAATTAAGAGCAGGAATAATTCTAAATGTCAAAGTGGGTTTAAGTACCTTGGATAACCTATAGGCTGTAACACAAAATGCACCATCTTATTCTTTGAATCCAAAAATGCTTTTTACTTGTTATTCACAACAGAGCTGAGTTTGAGAACTTGAAACAGATTGTGTACAATATTAATGGAGGTGAACTCTGAACAGGGTTGTGGCTGTGGTACTGACCATACAGTGATTAAGAGCTAAATAAAACACTTTCAGAAATCAAAGGACACTACTGCTTTAGAATAACATTTTCATGTTTTATACCTGCAACAATTAATTTACCAGCAGCTAATAGATATTTGGGTTTCTTCTATTGTTTGGCTTTTTATGATAAATATAGCTGGTACAAACATACATGTGTAGGTTCTGCGTACTGAGGTATGTTCATTGATCAGGTATACACTAATGAGTAGAATTTCTGGTGTTTATGACTATGCCACAGATATGATGTGATTGGCTTTCTTAGTGGCTGTAGTTTGACATTACCAACAGCAACACACAGTGTCCAATCTCTTCGCACTGTCACCAATACTTGTAAATTACCATGTTTGATCTGTAATTTCTCTTTTTTTCTTATAAAAGAAAGCATTTAATTGGGGCTGTCGTACAGTTTCAGAAGTTTAGTCCATTACTGTCACAGCAGAAAGCATGACAGTATGCAGACAGATACAGTGCTGTATAGAGGTAGCTAAGAGTTCTACATTTTGATCCTCAGGCAGCAGGAAGACCTGATCTGCATTTTCTTAACAGCTAAAAATGCTAAGCATCTTTCCATATGGTTATAGGTCATTTGTATTTTGGGCAAAGGCTTGCATTAGGTTTGTAATGGTTTGAAAAAAAAAAAAAAAAATCAAAGATTTTAAGCTCCTTCCAGAGCCAGATGTGGTATCACACAACCACAAGTCCAGCCCAGCAAGGTGGACTGAGAACTTCAGGTATTTGTGTTACACAGTATACACTAGGCCAGCCTGTGACTGTATAGACACTAATAAGGATAAGAATTATATTTATATTTTTTGTGATATTTTGCTTACTAGAGCAAAAGACTAAAGGTGCGCGCACACACACACACAATTTTAATAACCAAATTAAAATAACAACTCACTGTTGATTTGGGACTGATTTTCTGTGGCTTATAACTGACATTCAGAACTGGTACTGCTCCTGCAAAATAATACAAGTACATAAGACACAAAAACTTGCCCAGACTTTTAAAGTTTACTTTGTAGGATAGAATAAACAGGTAATATTTATAGCAGCAGTACCTCCTTCGTCAGGTTTAAGCCTTCCAGCAAGCATTCTGATAAATGTGGTTTTACCTGTACCTGGTAAGATAACAAAAAATTACCCTTCACATTTTAAAGTAAAAGTTATAATCTGAGTAATCTGTCTTGAAGATGTTATGTAAAAGTTATAAAGAAAAACAATCCCTAGCTGGGTAGTGGTGAAACACCTTTAATCCCAATACTTGGGAGGTAAAGGCAGGTGGATCTCTGAGTTCAAGGACAGCCTGGTCTACAGAGAGTTCCAGGACAGCTAGTGCTACACAGAGAAACCAAAAAAGGAGAAAAGGAGGAGGAGGAAGAAAAATAAGGAGAAGAATCCTTTCACACCTGTCAAGTATTAGCCTACACTTATTAGGAGGAATAAGACTAGTGCATTTTAATAAATACTTAGTCCATGAAACTTAGTCTTCTGACTCAATATTGAAAATATTGACAATAAAACTTTAAGAAAGTAGAGATCTCTAAACTTCAAGTAAGAAAATTCCAAATACAGTTACCCAAGGAAATCTTGTAAAGCTGGTATGTATCTAAGTTATCAGTTGCCTATTCCTTCTAGTTCTTTTGCAGAATGAGTGACTGCCTCATTAGCTTATTCAGAGAAACCAGCTAAGCAGAAACTACATAGTTTTAGTGTAAATAATGAAGAACTATTAACCTGTTTGAACAGTGAGACTAAATTAGTAAATACCACAAAAATGTAAAGTTAAAATAATAAATTTATAGATTCAAACTCACATGCCAGCCCTGAGTCAGTGCTTTATGGACACAGGTAATTTATAGAACCAACTTTCATACATCAGGAAACCTGAGCTTACCATTTTCCCCCAGCATCACCATGATCTCAGAATCTGTAAACTCTCCAGCTACAATCGCTAGCTCGAACTCGCCCATCTTTTTCTTCATCTCAGGATATTTATACATACACATCTTTTTAACTTCTTCTTCATTTGCTGTCTCAGCTACCTTAAAAACAAGTGATGCATCTCTGAACCTCAAGTTTTCTGTTGGAACATAGCCATCCAAAAAAATGTTTATGCCTGTTGGGAAGAAAGTTACAAACAGATTAGTAAAGATCTACGATCTATCTATCTATCTATCTATCTATCTATCTATCTATCTATCTATCTATCTACCTTCATATATCTTTGTTGATACCAAGCCTGGATATAATCAAAAGTCAATACTCTCTGTGTGTTTCAATAATGTAAGTATGATAGGGAAGGTGACTGGTGGCTATAACTCAAGTTAGAAGACTGTAAGCTTGCAAGACTAGACGGCTACATTATTAGGTCATTCCACCACCAAAACCGAAATGAATCCCTTTCTGCCAGTGTGAGCTTCATTTTAAGTTTAAACAGTCTGTGATCAATCATAGTATCCATATATTAAAATTGTTATTTTGGGTCAGGAAGATGGCTCACTGGGTAAAGGTGCCTGATGACTTGAGTTCAAGCCTGGAACCCAGAGTGGAAGGAGAACCCACCCCTGGAAGTCTCTCTTTGCCCTCCATACACACCGCTGTTATGCATGTGCCCATACACGTACATATACAGCCGTACAGGGTAAATGAGCAAATGTAAATTAAAGTCATTTTCTCAAAAAAAAAAAAAAAAAAAAAAAAAAGGCAAGGACATAAGAATGAAATATTTTCAGGTAAGCAACTGGCACAAAATATTTTGGACAGTAAGTTTTAAAATCAAGCAATTTAAGTAGCGAGTATTGCTTTGAGATAGCTATACAGTTGGAAATTAACATATTTTTTTCTTATTAATTTTAAAGTTTTATTACAAACCAAATGAGCTAACTCCATTAAACACATACATACATACATACAAACATACATATATGTATTTGGTTTCACTGTACTAAGAGTAAAACTAGTTTCTAGAGTGTTTTATAGTAGATGCAAGTAAACCAACATTGTACATATTAAGAGTAGAACATTTGCTGGGCATTGGTGGTGCACACCTTTGATCCCAGCACCTGGGAGGCAGAGGTGGGTGGATCTCTGTGAGTTCAAGGCCAGCCTGGTCTACAGAGCGAGTTCCTGGACAGGCCCCAAAGCAATACAGAGACACCCTGTCTCGAAAAACAAAAACAAAACAAACAAAAAGAGTAGCCCATTCACAATGGCAGACAAATTGAAAACAAAGATTTTTATTTGAGTAGACATAATGAAAGATGTGACTTCAGTATTTCTATGTACATAAGTGGAGAAAAAGCAGCAGAAGCTTTGGGAGGTCTTGAGAAAGTAAGGACAGTCGTCATTCCATTTGGACTAAGCCATCCATGTAAGGGACTTTTATGCTCAGTTAAAAACCTTGGGAATGACAGAACCAACTTTTCTAAAGGAACCTTCTTATTCTTAAAGGTGAAAGTACAAATGTAAAGTTAGAAAATTAAGCTCAAAAACTTTGATGAAGAAAACTTAAGTCTAATACCAATAAAAGAAGGGACTTTAGTCAGGCAGTGGTGGTGCACAACTTTAGTCCCAGCACTCGGGAGGCAGAGACAGGCGAATGTCTGTGAGTTTGAGGCCAGCCTGGTATATATAGAGCTCCAGGACAGGCGCCAAAGCTACAGAGAAACCCTGTCCTCCCCCCAAACCACCAAACAAACAAAACCCACACAACCCAAAGGTAAAGTAAACCAGAACTACCCCGCCAAAACAAAAACATCCCTGCAAAGCTAAATTTAGTTCTAAATATCAGTTAAAACGTATTATTATTGTTATTTGAATGTATATGTTATGTGTTTGCACGCATTCCAGGGAGCATGTGGAGGTCAGAAGGCAACTCTGTGGAGTAGGTTCTCTATGGGCATCACTGAATACTCATGTCACCAGGCTTACACAACACACATGGGGCATCGAGCAGGCCCTCACTGCTTTCTGTTAGCATTGCTTTTTGTTTCTTACATTATCTGTGAGTGTGTACATGTGAAAAGCTAACTCACTCTTTTCCTATCACTATGTGGGGTTCTGGGCATTAAACTCAGGTTATTAGGCTAAGCAGCTAGTGTCTTTACCCACTAAGCCATCTTGGAGATCAGAACCTCTTTATAAAAAAAAAAATTCTTAAGATTACTGGCAAGAAGCTAGGTGGGGTGGCACTCACCTTCAATCTCAGCTGAGGAGCTCAGTGAGTTTGAGGGCAGTCTAGTCTACATAGTGAGTTCCAGGACAACCTGAGCTACATAATGAGATCCTGTCTAAAAAAGAAAGACTATTGACAATAAAATTGGGGCAACCTCACCAAGTTTCCCTTAAAACACAGAGCTGTTCATCCTAAATATGTGAGTAGGTGAGCTATAAAAATCTCTTCACATTCTAAACTATTGACATACTTCTTATAAATTACAGAACCTGCCAATTCCTTTTTATGAAAAGGCTTTGATACACTGTAAATTTATTTTTCAAATTTATTTATTTAAAAACATTAAACTGCCTTATTATATTTTACAGAGCCTAACTGGCAAACACAAGATAGGGATTATAGATAAATTTGAATTATGACTTAAGAATTTTACCAATTTTACTAAATGAGCTAGCTTGCTAAGAATAAATTTGAAGGTGACAAGTACTGTATAAGTCAAAATGTAAACACTCATAATCACAAAAAAATTGTGAAAATGCATTTTTATTCTCCCAGCAGAAAATTCTCAAAGAAAAAAAAAAAGGAATTCTTTTCTGTAATTGTGTACAGCCTTACAATACACTTCCTTAATGATTAAATCACAAAGTATCAGTATATTAGAGCAGTGCAAAGTACTGAAAATCAACAGTAATCCATTTTTAGGCATTACAGAAGAGGTTACAACATTATGGGAACAGATTTGTTTTGAAGTTACCTTCTCTTACACTAAAAGGCATAGTGACAACACCATAAGCACTTGGTACACCATATAAACAGCAGATGAAGTCAGAGAGATAGTCTAATACACTTAGATCATGTTCCACCACAATGATATACCTGGAAAGCAAGAGAGACTTTTATTTTTAAATTTAACATAACATCATATGCTAAAACTCATTTATTTCTTTTTATTAGTTATAAATTTTAGAAAAACACAATTAAAAATACTAGGTGTAAAAGAACATAGTAAAGCCATAAAATGTTTTCTTACACAAGGCTCATTATCAAAGCTCACATTTAAAATGTTTTCCTAGTCAGGGGGTGGTGGCTCACGCCTTTGATCCCAGCACTTGGGAGGCAGAGGCAGGTGGATCTCTGGGAGTTTCAGGACAGCCTGGTCTACAGAGTGAGTTCCAGGCCAGCCAGGGCTACACAGAGAAACCCTGTCTTGGAAAACAAAAAACAAAATAAAAAAGTTTTCCTCAGCTAAAAGAACATTGTAACATAAGGTTTACAAGTGTATGAAATAAACTTGTCTTGATCAAATGAAACATTCTAATAATGTAAACTTTGCAAAGTGGATCATAACTAAATTCAAATACAACCTAGAGTGCTTAATTGTTTGAGTACTTCAATATTCAACTTCTATGTTTAAGATTTACAATGTTCTGCCTCATAGTATGGGTTATGCAAAGAAAGACTAAACAGAATCTCTTACCTAAAAATAGTGACCATCTAAGAATTTTGAATTTAGCTGGGGCAGACAATGAATAATATGAAAGTGACTCCCCTGCAAAAGGTATGTGGCAAATAAAATCTAGAGAATGAGATCAGTGAAACTCAGAAAAGAAATTAGTTAGCAAGCAGGACAGTGCTTTGACTGAGGTGGGATAATCTGAATGTCAGGGTAGCAAGTGCTAACATAAGCTATCAGACACGAGTCCTGAAGCTTTGTAGCACTAAATTCCCACCCTTCCTATGTTCACATGCCTCAGACACCAACTTCAGTGTCAGCTTCCTGCACAACTCAAGTCCTCCTTTGTATAAATACAGAGTCACTCTCACAAAATGACTAATTCTACTTCCTTTGATATAAGATTGGCAACTGGAATTCTTCCCTACCCATGTCTTGTGTTAGCAATTTATCATGTTCCTCCTCTGTCTAAATTTTAAGTCAGGCTCTCATCATAAATCTTTCAAGATTACCAATCTCAACAAATCTGTTTTCAGGGTCCCTGATGTGTATATCATTTCACACGAAATGCGCATTTTCGGACTTTCAAGAGCTTTTACAACTTCACCTACCTTTTTGTGCTGTTTGCTTTAAGACAGGGATTCTCTGTGTAACCCTTGTTGCCCTACTCTGTAGACCAGGCTAGCCTCAAACTCCAGAGATCAGCTTGACCTTGCCCCCTAAATGCTCAGATTAAAGGTGTGCACTACCACCACCTGGTAGTACTTACCTTACTGTTACTATTTATGCACAAAATAATTACAAAATGAAGTCCACCCCTCAATAATGCATTTTTTTCTGCTTTGTATGTTTAAGGGCCAGTCTTTCCTAGACACCTGCCAAAATTTTCATCTATTAAAATACCACTCAGCTCCTATTTTAATCCATTTTAAATCCTATTCACCACAGGAATATTTTACCTAATATGCAAATGAATTTTTCCTACTCTTAAAACTCCTTTTACTTAATGAAATCTCTTGCATTTCTTGAATTCAAATGAACCTAGAAGTCACAATTTTCCTAGTGTTGTAGAAGATAGCATCTGTGTACCCATGTGAGAAATAAATATACAATTAAAAGTTCTAGTCTAGTCTATTTTGGATTTCTTACTTTTTTCCTGAATAATATGCTTTTCAAATTTTTTATATCATTAAAAACTGACTGAATGCATGCATTGACAGTTTCAGAATAAGGATACAACTTTTTGATTTTTTTGAGAGAGTTTCTCTGTATTGTTTTGGAGCCTGTCCTGGAACTCATTCTGTAGACCAGGCTGGCCTCAGACTCAGAGAGATCCACCTGCCTTTGCCTCTCCCCAAGTGCTGTGATTAAAGGCATGCACCACTAATGCCCAGCTGAAGATACACTTTCTTCAGCTGCTCACCATCAACCTATCATCATACATGGATTACCTCCTCCCCACCCTCCCAACACAGGGTTTCTCTGTGTAACAGCTCTGGTTGTCCTGCAACTTTGTAGACCAGAGTGGCCTTGAACTCAAGAGATTCGGTTGTCTCTGTCTCCTGAGTGCCGGATCAAAGGTGTACACCACCATAGCCTGGCTCACACAGGATTACATTAACTCAACCAATACACAGGAGATCGATGCATCTACAAAAGCGTTTTTACTTACTGTCTTTGCTTGGTTAACTGAATTTATCTTAATATGCTATCACTGTTAGAATTAAGGTGTTATCCTCTCTCATACTTAAAATTTTTTAATTTCACTCAGTATAAGTGTGATGTCTTGTGCCGGAATATCTACACATTGGAATGTGAGTAGCTCTTTTTATACTTAAACATCATAGAAGAAAGTAGATGATATGCTCTATGACTAAAAGAAACTTGGACTAGAAACTACTTAAGATCAGGATACATATATATTCTTTCCTTTACCATAGTGCCAAGTTCTTAAAAATACCAGGATTATGTTTTCATACAATTTCTACCCAAAGATTGTTACAATGCTCAAGCATGTGTTATATAATGTCCAATCATGTGTATGAAGTAAAAAGTATGTGTGTTTGGACAATTAAGATTCTACCAATATATTTGTAGGTTCAATTTAAAGCATGTTAAGTGTTACTGATGCCCTATTGAACTTTTGTTTGAGGAGCTGAAGCTTTTATCAGTTCTAAAAACCCTTCAATGCCTCTAATTTAAAAGTCAGAGTTTAGTGCTTTCGAGGAAGAGGCAGGCATATCCCTGAGTGTGAGGTCAGCCTGGTCTGCAAAACAAGTTCCAGGACAGCTAGGGCTATACAGAGAAGCCCAGTCTTCAAAAACCAAACCAACAACATCCCATCATCATTATTATTACTATGTGTATGTGACTGCACATGCCATGGAGTGTAGGCTGAAATGAGAGATAACTTTATGGAGTTGATTCTCTCCTTCTAATTTTATATGGGTTCCAGGGACTGAATTGTTTGCCAGGCTTATGCAGCAAGTGGCCTCACCTACTCAGTCATCTTGTACAGACTCTTTCAAACACAACCAAATAGTCTTTTTACTATAATCACCATGTTTCAAATCTCTCCTTATATTTCAATGCCATTTTCTCAGTTACATTCATTAACTGTGAGATTGAGTTTTAATGTTCCCTATACGGTTTTGCTGTTCCTAATTCATCTAAGTTTTTAATGTTGCAACTTGTATGTGTATGTACAAGTTTTTTTTTTAAAATTTGTGTGTGTGTGTGTGTGTGTGTGTGTGTGTGTGTGTGTGTATGTATGTCGCTATGCCCACATGTGTACTCTTACGGAGGCTAGAGGCCAACATCCATATCTTCAGTTGCTTCTCTACCTCATTTTCTGTGACAGGATCTTTCACTGAACCTGGAGTTCATTGATTGACTGACTACACTGGCTGACTGGCAATTCCAGGGATCTTTTTGTGTCTGCCTCCAACACTGGGCTACAGGTTCATGCCACTGTGCTTGGCTTTTTCTCAGATTCTGGGACTGAACTGAAGGCCTCGTGTTTGCATGAGAATCATTTTACAAACTGAGCCACCTTCCCAATCCTTTATTCTTTTAATTTTTAGATTTGTTTGGGTTTTTGGACATTTATTCATCAAATACCTTTTTTTTTTTTAAAAAGGTTTATTTATTATGTGTACAGTGTTCTGTCTGCATGTATGTTGCAGGCCAGATCTCATTACAGGTGGTTGTGAGCTAGCTACCATGTGGTTTCTAGAAATTGAACTCAGGTCCTCTGGAAGAGCAGACAGTGCCCTTAACCCCTGGGCCATCTCTCGAGTCCCCTTCTTTAAATGTTTTACATTATTTTAGAGGCTCTTTTGGCATGTAAAATGAAATGCTAAAACTGCTATCTTGTTATGTATATTGACTAAGTTTAGAGATGGCTGCCTTTTATACTTTCTGAGAGCTAAGCTCATTTCACCTGTAAAAGTTTATACAATCAGCATTGAGGGCACAGCCCGACAAAATGCATTGTTATACACACCATAAGGCTAGAAGTTCCAAGCCTCCTTATACTACTTTCTCACTCAGAAGGTCTCATCAACTCCACTGGTTCAGTACATTTCAATTCTATAGCTATATGACCTGTTTGCACAAAAACATAATTAAAGGGAAATCATCACTCCTTGGCAATTCCAGTTCCTGATGGGTAACATGTTTCCAATTTGCCTTTTTGTTTTGAAACCAACAGTTCAGAGTCCTGACATATTATGTGTGATAATCCAATACAAGAAGCAAGCTAGCTTCCATCTGCAGAGGATATTAAAACTCATGACCAACATCATTGACACCAACAATGTCTGAAAAGACAGGATCTCTCTCTAAGAGTTCTCTCTTTGTTTTTCTGATACTCCTGTGTCTTGAAACAATGTTTATTAAATCAGTAACTAAAGAGAGGCATCACAGTATAAAAAGCACTGTACCAAAATCCTCTCCTAGTCTGGTCACAGTCTTGTCAAATAAATCTGCACTACCAGTAACAAGGTCTTTAGACCACATGCTCCCTCAACCGCAAAATGTGAAATCTACCTGAAGACCCAATAAAATTACTAGAAGCATCAAGGGCAATGATGAATTAAGAAAGTCTGGAAATTGAAAAGTACCATACCCAATGTTAGTATTTAGGCATCTGTACTGGTCTGCCTTTGGGGTTCTGACAGGATATGCCTCAGCTGTAGTCACTAAGAGCACCACCTGTGCACATTTACTACATTTCCTTTTAGAAGGTCCCTCCCTCCCTCCCTCTCTCTCCCTCTCTCTGCCTGTGTCCCCACCCTTCTCTTTTCTCTTCTGCAGCTCCTGTCCTCAGAGGCTGGTCTCCCCCTCCCCCTTTTCCTATTCCCTTTCCCTTAATAAAAACCCCTCCACATGAGCTCTGTTGCATGGTATCTTTCTCAAGCTGCTTTTTAAATTACAAAACTCAACACATGGATAACAGAAGTTGCTGAGGAACTCTTTTGCTGTTCAGTGAGATTGTAAACACCAGTGGTGATTATGTTTTAAGTATGTGTGTTGTGTATGTATAAGACTGAGATTTGCATTTGAGATCTAGTAAAAACTGTTTCCCCCCTAAAACATTTAAATAGCATACATATATACAAAATTTAAACTCTACATAGAGTTCAAGGAACCAATAAATTAATCTTGCACTAAGAATCATTGTTCTAGGACACAGGAAGGCAGATTCTGGTGGATGCTACAAATGATCAAGATTAAAAACAAGAAAACGTTTAATCTTTAAACATCTGTAAAATTCCCTCAACAAAAGAACACAGAGATGTACTGGATCTGTTCTTACCTATCTGGGTTTATTAGAGATCGAATAGTAATGGCAGCCTTTAAACGTTGTTTGACATCGAGGTAACTGGAAGGTTCATCAAACATAAAACTAAGAAAAACAAAAGCAAGCATGCTCAGTTTGAACAATCTAAAATAATTCTACCATATACATTCTTTTTATATAGTATAATAATGGCTGACTTAATAGAATTAAAATTTTCACATACCAACGAAAGGAGGCTAACTGTAAGGGTAAAATTCTGTCTTTTGTCCAGAAGAAGACAATAACAAAAAGAAACATATACCTACAAATTTGAGGAGCGCTTTGAAGATAGAACTGACTTATAATTGGTACCTTTTCATGAAAAATACTCTGGTACAGTCTGAAGTAGTTTGAAGGACCCCTTTCTTCTTGTTCTTAAATTGTATTTATTTTGTGTGTGTGTTTGGGATGTCACTGTCTTCATGAGGATGTCAAAGAACAAAGTGCCTGAGTTGGTTCTCTTTCCACCTTGTGGTTCTGGGGAATTGAACTCAGGTGGTTCAGGGCTTGGTGGCAACTACTAAGCCATTTTACTGGGCTCAAAGAGCCATTTTCTTAATTGCCTCAAGTCCAAAGGGTTTAAAGCATATCATTTCTCATGCACAGAATCTCACAGAATCCTCTGTGAGAAGGGGCTTGGAAAGGTATGGAGGCAGTAAGCACCTGAGAGGAGGGACACACTAGAAAGCAGGAGAGAGGCCTGCCTCTCTTATTCCACTCACTTCTCCTTCACATATCATGCTATTCCGATTGCAACTAGTCTAAAGGCTATCGTTTACTCAGTATTTAGAAAGCTTACTGACATGGATGGAGAGCCAAGTTTTAAAAATTAGACGCTGGACATACGGCATAAATAACTACTCATAAGAACAATTTCCCTGCCTTGGGCCTCATACAGGGAAAATGTGTCATGGATATACAACTGCTTTAACATATTACCTCCAAATCAGAGCTTTATATCTTTACTAGTTATTCCTTTCAAGATTACTACTGTATTAGCAGTATTACAAATACAAACTCACAAACATTAAGATACACAAAAAGTGTAAAGTAACCTACATATCAGCTTTTTGTATGCAAACGACAGCACAAGCAAATCTCTGCAACTCTCCTCCTGAAAGATCTTCAACATTTCGTTCTTTAAGGTGAGTTAAATCTACAAAGAATCAGAAGCATTGTGTTCAATGGTATAAATTCCATTTCACCTCTTCTGGGCAAAATGCACACTGGATGTCAGTACTCTGGGTTGAGTGATAGTTCAGTTTATAACTGTAGTAGCAATAAGATAATAACGAAAGCTTTCCTCATGAATTCATGAATGCAATCTATTAAGCATGTACTTAAATACTTACCAAGCTGCTGACATACAATTGCCTGTGTCTTTGTTTCATCTTTTCGGTCCAAAATAGATCCCACTGTGCCCTATCATAACAGAAAATTATCACTATTTTCCTTTAGCATTAAAAGGCACAAAGTAGAACAAGTCTATTTTAATATAACCTTTGTTTTTCTATCAATAATCTTTTAATATACAGCTTCTTTCTATAAACCAACTGACCTTTGCAGCCTTGGGAATCTGATCTACATATTGAGGTTTGATTATGGCTTTTAGGTCATCTTCTAGAATCTTGGTGAAGTAATTTTGTAATTCAGATCCACGGAAATACGTCAAAATCTCTTGCCAATCAGGCGGATCCTAGAAATATACATTACAGTTATCAGAATTTAAGGTAAAAATACAAAGGGGATGGATGCTAAATAAAATTAAACAAGTATCAAATGAAGACTTCTAATTCTGGAATGGATATGGACTTAGTTTCAAATCAAGGCATACTAATTCACATGTTTAAGTGAACTATGAATTTTCAGGTAACACTAACCAATCTTATTTAGAGAGGATGGAATAAGACACAAAACATACACACACAAAACAAAACAACCAAACTGCAAACAAACAATAACAACAAAAACCAAGTGCGGAATCCAAGTGTCCCAGTATTGGGAGGCTTGAGTTTAAGGTCCTCTGAGGCCATATAAGGGCATGTCTTCAAAAAAAGCAAAGCAAATCAAACCAAACTTGGGCCATACAATGTTGAACCTTTAACCCCACAAATGAACTTAAAAATAACATCAGAATAAATTATACCCATCTTTCTAAACCAAAAAAAGACCCAGATATTAACTTTTATTGTCTGTTAATACATACATCATATTTTCCAAGGTTTGGCTTTTGCTTTCCTGCTAAAATTTTTAATGCAGTTGACTTTCCAATACCATTAGTTCCAACTAATCCCAAAACTTCACCTGGACGAGGGATAGGCAACCTATTACAGTACCAGAAAAAAACAAAAACACCAAAACCGTGGTATTAGATAGAAGGTATACAATAGCAGAATGACATATTTTAAAAGCACTTGCGTATTACACATATCTATTAATAAGCTAAGAAATATATGCTAAGTATTACTGGGTGAGGGACAGTCAAAAGAAACTAATGTCAGAAATGTACCCATAATCAATAATACCTCAAATTTTTATTTATTCTACTCTTTAGCTAAAATAACATTTTCCTTCATAGTTACGGCTCTGCTTTTTTGGTTGTTATTTTTTGAGATAAGGTTTCTCTGTAGCTTTGGAGCCTGTCATAGAACTTATTCTGTAGACCAGGCTGGCTTCGAACTCACAAAGATCTGCCTGTCTCTGCTTCCCGAGTGCTGGGATTAAAGGCGTGTGCCACCATGCCCAGCCACTGCTGACATATAAATATAACCTTGCATTTTATGATATTCTATTACCCTTTGGTGGATGTGCATTTTCAAATTTTTCTTCCATTTCTCTGAAAATTCTAAGGAAATTTTACCCTCGAGTGAAGTAAAGAGGAATATACCTGTGAAGCTTGAAGGCATTGGCACAATATCGATGTGTTGTTTCTTTCTCCAAGTTGCTTGGCAAATTGACAATTGATAAGGCGCCAAAGGGGCATTTCTGTTATTTAAAACAAAAAATAATATTTTAATTTATAAAATACTTGACTCAAATGGACTAAGAATATTTTTATTAAATGTTCCAAGCATGAATTTTACAAATGAAAAATAATTTTTATCTCATTTACTTAAAAATAAAAATCAAGTTCCTTGGAGATTATAGCTATATTGATGAATTTAATATTCTTCATGACTGACATCAGTAATTATGTATCAGATATTACTGTTCAATGCTTTCTGTAAACTGCCTACATGTTTTCTTTCTCTTTAATTATTTCTGTCCTTTCCTACATTAGGTAAAATCTTTTAAGGTGTTTGGATTGTATCACTGGGGGAGAGAGCTACTTCTATCCTACCAATGTATTGTATCAAAGCTTAATGCTTTTCTGTTAACTTATTCAAGACTGCCAGATAAATGTCCATGAATAAGAATGGCAAGTATAAGAAAGTCACTAAGAGCAGTGGTAGTGTGTGGGCTGGGGAGATGACTCAGGTGGTCCCAACACTGAGTTTACACATATCCCCAGTACTCATGTAAAAAGCTAGGTGTGGTAGTCTATTCCTAAAATCTCAGAGCTGGAGGCAGGAGTGGGAAGATCCCTGGGGCTTGCCAGCCAATCAGTGTAGACAGACTAGTAAGTCCCAGGTTTTATCAGAGACCCTGCCTTAAAAAAAAAGTAAGGCTGGATGCAATGGAGAAAGACATCCAACTTTCGATTTCTGACCTCCACACATGCACACTAAAGAAAACAAAACAAACAAACAAACAAACAAAAAAAGTTATAATGTGGCTAAATGTATGTCTAAAGTATAGATAATTACAGAGAGAGACATAGCCAGGAAGCACATGGTCAGCTTAGAGATCTGATCTGCAGATATGTTCAATAAATTTGGGAATCGACTCAGAAGTCAATGAATTTTCACTTCAAACTATGAAAACATAATAAAGGAAAAAAAATCAAAACCATTATTTGATTTTCTAGTAATCTCTGCCCCCTAGCTACACTGCCAAATTTTTACAAGTATGTTTCCTATCCTCCTCTTTTCATCAATGTACAAGAAATGCCAACAAGGAGGCTGCAGGTGATTTTAAACTGGTAAGTGATATGAAAAAGAAATCCACATCACTTATAAATAAGGTGGACTACTCAGTGCTCAGGATGAATACATTACATTCTCCATTACTAACACTTTATTAATTAGTGTTTTTAGGCATTCAGATGCATATCTAAAAATTTGGAATGTAAACACAACAGATAACATTGTAATGCTCATACTAGATCCCTAACACCGACCATACAGGTAGACACACATAACAAATGACCTGTAAATATTTCCCAGGAGTAGTATCTCATTTTCAAAATAAGGAAAAAAATTTCAGAATCCACATGCTTACATAAGTTTTCAAAAAACAATATAAAACATATATATGGCTTATATGAACAGTTCATAGGGAAATATCCATACTCTGGTGAAATTCATTTTTATATTACCCAAAAACAAAAATACCTAAGAATGGTTACTAAATGCCTCTTATAAGTTGGAAATTTACCACTCAAAAGTTAAGTCAATTATTCAATGTAACAAAATTTAACATGTTTAAAATTCTAAGATACAGCAAAGCATTTTTAGATTAAATTTAAAATTGTTTCCTGTTATATTTCTACTTGAGAATGATAACTTTAAAATTAAATAAACTTGGGCCAGCTGTGGTGGTGCATTCTTTAATCCCAGCACTCAGGAGGCAGAGGCAGAAGGGTCTCTGTGAGTTGATGGCTAGCCTGGTCTACAGGACATCTGGACCTTATTAGCCCAGTCTTAAAACAAAAACAAATAGACTTTAGAAAATATGCCAGTTATACTTTATTTCCAGAATATCCTAGCAAAGTCTTGCTACAAATTTTCATGTAATAACAAGTTAAATATAGAGAAATAATCTACTTAGAAATATCGACAATTATTTGCTTAAAATTTTATTATTGAGTGTGTGCGGGTGTGTGCCATGGTGCATATGTAGAGATCAGAAGATAAATCTGTGGAGCTGGTTCTCTCTAGTTAAGTGGGCTCCTCAATTTGAAACCACGTCATCAGACCTGCTCAAATAGCGCCTTTTTCTTCTGGGACATTTCACTGACCCACTAATTTTGGGCTCTCTGCTCCTTCCTGGTCCAGAGACAGATTTGGCCACATTGGGTGTCTGGACTACATGTTGCCTTCAACTCTGGCAAAGTGGATTCAGTTGGTATAAAATGATCCTCTCACTGAGCTCAACAGATGGTATCCATGTTCCAGTGTGATTACAACCATGGCATTTTCATAGCACAGTCAAGTCTGGGACTGGGAAACTTGTCATTGATAGGAAAGCTACTTCTACCTTCCAGGAGTGTGATCTACTAACACCAAACTGTGATGCTGGTGCTGATGGTCCGATGGTATCTTCATTATTACAGAGAAGGCCAGGGCTCACTTGAAGGGTGGAGTCGAAAGGCCATTTATCATCTCTGCCACTTCTGCTGATGCACATTAACCATGGTAAGGATGAGAAACTCACCGAAGATAGTCAGTAATGTCTCTGTCACCACCAAATGCTTAGTGCCCCTGGCTAGGGGGTCATCCATGACAACTCTGGTATCATTGAGGGACTCAGGACCACAGTCCATGCTGTCACTGCTACCCAGAAGACTATAGACGGTCTCTCACTGTGATGACAGTCACAGGACTGCCCTAAACATCATCTCTGCATCCACTAGCTGTGGGCAGTCATTCAGAGTTGAATAGGAAGCGCTCTGCTATGGCTCTCCATATTCTGACTCCCAACATGCCCATGGCAGATCTGACCTGGCACCTGGAGAAAGCGGACAATGTGATGTCAGCAAGAAGGTAGTGTAGCAGACATCAGAGGGAGAAAGGGCATCCATCCTAGGTTATAATGAGGACCAGGCTGTCCCTTGTGACTTTAATACCAATACTCTCTTTTTCATCTTTGATGTGGGGGCTGACACTGGTCTGAGCAACTTCTTTTTCAAGCTCATTTTTAGGTATGACTATGAATTTGGCTACAGCAATAGCACGACAGACCTCACAGTTCACATGACCTCCTAAGAGTAAAGAATCCTGAACTACTTATCCTAGCAACGAGACAGGAAGAGAGATTGCTGTGGAGTCCCTTCCCCCACTTAAAGATCCACTACACTGAGCATGCCCCTAGAACAAACAGGGGCTTAAAGAATCCTACTGTCTCGCCATCATTAAAGAATTCTCAAATAAATAAGGTTTGGTTTGGGGGCCAGCAAGATGGCTCAGCAGGTAAAGGTGCTTGCTGCCAAGTCTGGTGATCTGAGTTTGATCCCTGGAACCCATATGGTGGAAGAACTGACACCTGCATATTTTCCTCCAACCTCCACATGTACACTGTGGCACAGACATCCAACACCAGCCTGTTAGAAAACACACATACACACACACGCACACACTCATACACACACAGCCACATACTCTCATATACACACACACACACGAAATAAATGTAATTGTAATAAGTGTTGATTCATTAATTAAAAAAAGCAGTAATATTGTCATAAGAATATTACATTCTTAAATTTTTAGTTTAGTTGCCCTATTTTTTTTCCTTTTACTTTTTTCTTTTTGGTTTTTAGAGACAAGGTTTCTCTGTGTAGCTTTGGAGCCTGTTCTGGAACCCACTCTGTAGATCATGTTGGCCTGGAACTCAGAGATCTGCCTGCCTCTGCCTCCAAAGTGCTGGGACTAAAGTTGTGTGCCACACTGCCCAGCCTACTTTTGTCTTTTAGATTTTTCAGATTTTAGTTTTGGCTCAACAAAACATTATCACTTACCTTAATGCAAATACCACAACCAATACAGAGAGTCTCAGAAATCCATGCTATTTTGCTCTGGGGGGTAACCTCTATACATAATTTTCCTGGCAAAGAAAAATAATTTCTTTTATCAGAACACTTTTAAGATTGTTATTCAGAAAATGCTGTTTTTGGAAATCAACACAAAAGTTTCAATGACAAATATAAGTTCTTAAATTAAGTGCTAGGTGAAACACATTCTAAATTATACAACTGGGTTTAACTAATTATGTAATAAGTAAGTGGCCAATACATTGTCTTTATGGTAAACCTTGAAATATTATTATGTTTAAATTCTGGCTTAAATTTGTTTTGGAAGCAACCCCAGAGTCCTGAATACACTGACTCTTTAACTCATAAAAGAAAGCATGTCTTAGAAATGGAAATGTACACCATAGATAGAAATAAAATATTTCAGCTAGGTAAATGAAACTTCAAAAAGCTATTCAATTTTCTAGTACACAGGTAACAGCACTTGAGACATCAAAAAATGAATTTATGGGAAGCAGAGAAACATTACCAGATACTATCTAAAGTCTAGAAGCCCAGTACTACAAGGCAGTAGTCACATGGCCAATGCTATAAGGTCACCAATAACTGTCAGCTCTGAAACGCTAGATTTACTTAGTCCTGAAAATCTAGCAATACTCCACAAAATGACTGTCATTAAACTTAAACTTATTTATTGATTAGTTTCAAGACAAAAACAACATCTACTGCAAAGATTCTGGCAATCCTTTCCTCGTGACTCAGTTATAGAATTTTGTAGAATAGCTAAGACTGCAGTTAACTTTTGGTTTGACTTTACATTATCTTGACAGTGACAGTCTATAAGTTCTTTTAAAAGGACCACTATCTACAAACTAATAAAAGCTTAGAGTAAGCTAAAGCCTCTATGAAGCTTCACATAAGTTTGCTTTTCCACAGCCACTTTCTAACCTCAGATGGCCTACAGAACAGCTTACCCATTCGAACGACAGGGCAACTCTTTTTGCATTCTTGCCGACATTTCTTTGGCTTGCATTTGTCATGGTTGACAATAGCTATTCTTGTTAATTTGTCTGCCATAATTGTAATAAAGAATATCCGGCTCTCCTATTAAAGATAAAATGAACAAAGTTATAACAAATTCAATATACAAAAATTAACTAAATTAGAACAAATTCAACATAATCACATAAAGAGAAATAATTAATGGGCATAAAAGGAGGACACAAATAATCATATGGAGTTTATGTTTATTTGGAAAATTAAAAAATGATTAGGAACAACAAAATAACCTATCCAGGTGGGGAAAAAATTTTATACAATGGATTTAGTTTAGAAAATATGTGCCACTTAAAATAATACACGCCCCCCCAAACACCTAGGATTATATTTAATACACACAGAAAAATACTCAAAAACACTAAATTCCAAAAGATCTAACCAAACAAAATATGTATGTTCTTATTTTTTATAATAGTTGATTTCAAAAATTTAATTCTAAAATTTATATAAACAATCCAAACTCTTGGGTAAAAAAAAAAAAAAAATGTCAAATAAACCAAAGTTAAAAATATTAGGATTATTAAAACAGAAAGGATAGAAGCTTACACTTGACAAATTATACAAGGCCTCAATAATTAACACTGATATCACTGTATAAACATGTAAAATGGCTGACATATGAAAACAAGACACACACAATCTTAAGATGTTTCTTCTTTGTTCCTACAAACCAATCATTAATTCATTTTTTTTCCAATTGACTATTATGACTACTACTGATGCAAAGGGACAAATAGAGCTGTGACCATCATGTTACTGTACAAGTTTTTATGTTAGCAATTCACCATGCACATATACCATGCTTTCAAGACTTTTCTAAGTCTTGATATATAACATCTACACTAAATTTAGATCAAGGCAGATTTAACAATCTTTTATGATATTGAGTTTGGTGTACTGACATTAATTTCCTCATGTGACTAAAGGAAATAAATCCTCATGGTGCCTTCATACTCATACTTCAATGCACAATGAAGAAACCAGGGCCACCCATTTGCAAAGATATTTTGCTGGCTTTTTCTGTGATCTTATCAACATAGCCATTATTATTATTAGCCTTGGAGGGACATGTAAGCAGTCTTGCTCCTCAATGTTGCCCTAGACTATTTCCTCTTCCTCCTCTCTGACCCAAATGTTTTCATCATTTATAGACTATCAGATCACTTCCTTTCAAACTGGTAAATGCTCTACTTTTTTGGTAGAGTTGAGCTAAGTGGTTACTTCTTTAAACTGATCCATGTCTCCTAAATTAGAAGAAATTAAATGCTTTTACTTTATCTTAAAGTTAACTTAAAAACACAAGCCAAACCATGTGATTTTTTTTTCTAAGAAGTGTTCCAATATAAATAAAAAATGCTCTTTAAACAAATTACCTGGTAAACGAATTCCTTTTCAGAGATTAAACAACTCTTTCACTATGAAATTGCTTATGCTGGTCTTTATTTGTTAAGCTACTACAACTAATTTTCAAATTATTAAAATTCTATAACATAATATTTATGGGGAAAAGAAACACACTAGAGGTGGTCAATAAAGTTGATTTATACAACGATAAATTATTTTACAGTTAAGAAAAATGAATACAGATTCTTTGTATAACAGTTACATAGGCAAACCATTATTTGTTCAACTTCTGTATTTTTCCAAGAATTAGGGAAAAGAAATTCGTCTTTCCAATAAGGAGAACTTGGCACAGAAAAGCTTGAAGAGGAATTTTATAGCAATAAACTTTTGGGAATTACAAACTGATATTTCACATTTGAAGGCAGACTGTTCAAAATAGGCACTATTAAAGCAATGACTCTGGTGTCATCCAGGTGAGTGAAAATGGAAGTGAGGCAAACACATGGGAAACAGCTACAGTCTAAGATCACATGAAACATTATGACCTATGCTTACAGTTAAGTAGCCTTATAAAGCATAGTAAGTTGGGAAAGGCACATAGCTTTGATTTTTAATGGAGTGCCTTTCAGCAACTAGTAAATTTCCATCTGTTTGTAGAGGTGAGCTAAATTAGTTTAATTAAAAACGTAAAACCTTACACACATTTTGGTTCTCATACACACACACACACACACACACACACACACACACACACACAGAGAGAGAGAGAGAGAGAGATAGTTTCTGGTTATAATGAATACATTAACATCAACACAGGACGTTTACTTCAGCGTACAGGACCAGTGACTACAATACAATGCGGATGTTACTATCCTAACTCCCTAGTTAAATAGGCTCTAGGAAGGAAAGGGTAAACAGATATAATCTGTTCTGACAGTTATTCCTTAGTTACCAATTCTACCAGAGAGAGAGAGGAGAGAGGAGAGAGAGAGAGAGAGAGAACAATGTAGCTCACGGCGTGTAGGAATTAAGCTTTGGCCATCTCACATTTGCAACAAATACTAAATGCCTACGATGTACTTACTGGGCTTTAAAATGCTATCTACAGATATTTGAATAAAGGCACCGTCCCCGATGTCAAGAGGCTTAAGATGTAATAAACGATGTCACTAATGGGAAGAGTAAGGAGTGGCTACAAAGTGCCTCTCCAAAGCGCTACAGACAGGCATTCAACTCGGAAATTCACTTGCGCCAACTCCAGTCCAAACTGAGTACACGTCGCTCTATGACAAAAGTAGAGAATCTGCCCATCATTTCTACAAAGCCTGGGAGTGGACTGGGAGTACCGGACTTCATGGCGGCAAGATGCCATGACTCACTCCACAATCATTAAAAGGTACAAGAAACACCACAAGTTTCCACAACCACATGGCTATCAGCCATCTGACTGTGAGAGGAGGCTAAGGGGATCTGCGGGGCGCGCTAAGTTCTGAAGGGTTAGCTCCGGCGTGTGGCAGGGTGGAGGGAGGGTGCCGGCGGCGATGGCACCTGGGACCACTCTCGCGGCAGCTGTCAGGGTTTGGAGGACGGTAGCCTCGAGGCCGGGATGGCTGAGCACACGCGTGAGGAGCGCCCCGGCAGCCCCAGATGTGCAGTCGGAACCGGCTGCCACGCGCTCCGGTCCCGGTAGAGGCCTAAGCACAGGCGCGCGGAGCGCGTGCCCCAGTCCTCCCAAGGTGGCAGTAGGCCGCCTGGCGCCAAACCCCTCCCACAGTCACGTACCTGGAGACAACGGTCCCCTTACGGTGGGGCGTGCAGTAGCCGAATCAGCGCTAGCCTTCACGTCCCGGCCACACAACGTGTTCTTACCGCCACCGGCCAAGATGGCGGTGCACAGCCGCCGCCTCGCGCAAGCGATGAGAACGTAGTACGCATGCGCGATAGGGCTCGGAGTCGGCGCCTTGGAGGGCGTGTGGACGCTCTGACGTCATTGCGCTGCGACTCAAATAACGGAGGGAGCCTAGACTCCCTGAGCCGCGGTGGGAGTGGCGGGCACCTGAAGCAGACCCTGAGAAACGGGATTGTGGCAGACCAGGTTTGTAAGAGCATCCTCGACTTCGAGAGCCGTCTTGGCGGGCGCAGAGGAGTGAGTCCTCCTCCGGGTTCTTCGTCGCGTTAAGTTTGCCGTCTCCTCAGGCCTGGTGGTCCTGGAGTGGAGCCTTAGCCGATCTGGTAGACTAGCGGTGTCAGGCAGGATCCCCAGTCTAGTCCTCAGCTCCTGCAGTACCCTATTCCTCTCCTAGCCTTTTAACGGAATTTATAATGTTTATGTGATTACTTAAGTGATTATTGTTTGTGTGGCGGTTGTAGGGATAGCTTGGAATCCAAAGGAACGTGTCAAGGAGATGGTTTATAGATTGATTTTTCTTAGAATTTTCAATAACGTAGAGTATCCGTAAGGGTTACTGAAACAGTTCGACATACTCCTAAGTCCCCCCCCCACACGTTTTTATGTCTACTAGAATTAACAAAAGGTATGAAAGATGAAGCGATATGAGTGATTACTGAGTTCCCTGTATAGAGCAGGTTGGCCTTGAACTCTGATCCTTCTGCTTTTGCCTCTACCTTAGTCTCCGGAGTGCTAGGATTAAAGCTATTGCCACAACACTGGACACTGATCTTTTGTTTTAAATTTTCCAGAAAGATGGTCAAATCTTGGAATAATGAATATTGCTTGGTTCTCTGCAGAATAATTTAAAAATGACCACGCCGAACAAGACACCTCCTGGTGCTGATCCTAAACAGTTGGAAAGGACTGCGACAGTTAGGGAAATCGGGTCCCAAGCTGTTTGGTCACTCTCATCCTGCAAACCAGGTAAGGCAAACAAAACTAATACTGTGATAATCATTACTTATAGTTTTTTCATATATATATATATATATATATATATATATATATGGCTTCCCTCCCCCCCTTTTTTAATTTTTAAACAGGATTTCTTTGGGTAGCCCTCAACCACTGTCCTATAGCTTGCTCTGTAGACCAGGCTAGCCCCGAATTCAGTGATCTGCCTGCGTCTTGCCTCTCAGGTGCTGGGAATAAAGGCAAGCACCACCATGGCCTGATCCCTTAATTTTCCTGTGCGCTGGACTGCCTTGTGTTGCCTTATAGTAATTCAAATGAACTGGGTTTTCATTTATTACATATTTTTGTCCAATTGTATTACCAATGTTAATAAGATTTTTTTAACATCTCATGTGATCATCTCTCTCTTTCTCTCCTCTCTCTCCTCTCTCTCCTCTCTCTCCTCTCTCTCGTTTTTGGAGACAGGGTTTGTCTATGTTGCTTTGGAGCCTGCCCTGGAATTGCTCTGTAGTCCAGGCTGACCTCACAGAGATAGGTGTGCGCTACCAATGCCCAGTGTGATGGTCTCTTTATCCTATGCCATCTATGCTATTATTGAGTTGTTATTTAATTCACATTTTATGCTTGTTGTTCTTTCTGGACGCATCTAATGTTTTTCTCTTTATTCTTGGAGTCCATGTCTTCTGCTAGTATGTGTTAGGGTAAAATACACGTGTGTCTTTTCCAATTTATCTGATCTTTAATTTGATAGGCATTTTCCTTTTTTTTTTTTTTTTTTTTTTTTTTTTATTTTCGTTTGTTTTTTGAGACTGGGTTTCTCTGTATTGCTTTGGAGCCTGCCCTGGAACTAGCTCTGTAGACCAGGCTGGACTCAGACTCACAGAGATCCACTTGCCTCAGCCTCCTGAGTGCTGGGATTAAAGGCATGCATCACCAATGCCTGGCTGATAGGCATTTTCTTTTTATTATTTTGTAATAATTAAAAAAAATTGTAAAATTAGTTTAAAGCAGCAACTAAAGTCTTATATTTTTGGTTGTGAGCCTAGCTTTTAATTACTGAGCCATCTCTCCAGCCCTGAGCCATCTCTTCAGTCCAACTAAAGTCTTAAGATGGCAAATTTTGAGATTTCCAAGCTAGTGAAAACAGCTAACACATGAAAAATACTTTGAGTACAATGGAGGGGAACCTGAAAAGCAAAATGTACTTAATGCTATAGAAGTTCAGACTGTGAAATGCTACAGTCATAAAGTCTGCTTGCTAAAAACAGTGTCACAGTAGCAGTGTAGGCAGATGTGAGCCTGCCTTGGGCCAAGAACCAGTCTAGCTTTGTTAGCTCATCCAGTCCTTACAGCAACCTTAACACAGGCTGAGTTGCTGCTCCCCAATCCTGGGGCCCCATTTACTCTACTCTTTGTTTTGTCTTTTTAATATTTTACATTATTTAAAGCAATTGTTTTGTTTTGTTTTGTTTTTTTTCTGAGACAGAGTTTTATCTGTAGCTTTGGAACCTGTCCTGTAACTCTCTCTGTAGATCAGCCTGGCCTCCAACTCACAGAGATCTGCCTGCCTCTGCTTCCCAAGTGGTGAGATTAAAGGTGTGCACCACTACCACCAACCATTGAAAGCAATTTTTAAATGTAAATATATTTTGCTCATTTTCTTCCCCTTCCTCAAGTCCTTCTAGATCTTTTCCCCCTCCCTACCCACTCTAAAAAATGAACACAACAAAAACTTCTCCAAGTCAAGAAAACAAAATAAAACCACACTTAAAAAAGAAACACATGCACTCGCACACACTCACACACACACACAAGCACCTACAAAAAACTCTGGAGTCCATTATATGTTGGTCAATTATTCCTGAATACAAGGCCTGTTCTAGAGTGGTTGATATACCTAGTATCATGCTGTTGGAAAACCCTGATTTTTCCCTCTCCCAAGAGATATAAGGAACAATAATCCTCCTAGTGGCTAGGTTTTTATTCATTCATTTAAAAACATAACAGTATAATAATGTAATAACTATCACATCGAAGTTGGACAAGGCAAATGAACAGAAGGAGATAAGCCCATGAGAAGGCACAAGAATCAGAGACCTACTTGTTTGCTTGTGCCTGTAAAAACCCTAAATGGAAGCCATGCTATGGACACACAAGACCTGATGCAGACCTGTGCAGGCTCTGTGCTGCTTTTCAGTCTCTGAGTTCATAGGAGCTTTGCTCATGTTGGTTTAGAGGGCCTTGTGTTCTTTGTGTCCTCCATCCCCATTGGTTCTTAACACTCTTTCCATCTCTTCTATGTTCTCTGAGCTCTGAGGGGAGGGATTTGATGGAGACATCCATTTAGGGCTGAGTGTTCCAAGTTTTCTCACTCTGAGTCGTTTCGGGCTGTGGGTCTCTGTATTAGTTCCTCTCTGCTGAAGGAGGAAGCTTCTCTGATTCTGGCTGAACAAGGTGACAATCTATGAGTATAGCAGAATATCATCAGGAGTCATTTTATCGCTCCATTTTTTTTTTTTTAAGACCAGATTTGATTTTCCCCTTGGTCCCTGGGCTATCTGCAGTGTCAGGTATGGATTCCATCTCATGGAGTGGGCCTTAAGTCAAACCAGATATTGGTGTCTGATTGATTGGTGTCTCCCACAAGCTTTGTGCCATCTTTGTCATAGCATGTCTTCTTGCAGGTAGTGCACCATTGTAGAAAAAGGGTTTGTGGCTGGCATGGTGTTTATGTTTCTCTTTTGAGAGCATGCAGAATACTTTCCTGTTCCAAAGATACTCGAGTGTAGGGGTGAAGGCTCTATGTACACACTGGTTCACCATCTTCAGTGAGTTGTGTAGGTGTTGTCTTTAGCAGTGGGACCTTGCTGTGTTTCATATGCAGGACCAGATTTTTTCATAACAGCTTCAGATCACATAGCTGAAAAATCATGAGGAAACCTGAACCAAACTGGCAGACTAAACTGATTCTGAATTCTTATCCCATATATATTCAAAAGTAAATCACAATTGGCTTTTTAGGCTGGTAGGTTTGGGGTAATTGTTAGATAACGGTGATTAACTAAGACAAGGTGGCTCTCAATATTGAGTGATTATGAAAAAAGCTAGTAAATGTTCATGCAGTATTTTGTGTGTGGATGTATGTTTTCATTTTGGGTGAATACATTTTTAGGTATAGGATTTCTGAATTGTGTTGTTTTTATTTCTGCTCCAATCTATATCTTCTGTTTCTATTTCTTGACTAGTATTAATAAGTCAAGGCTTTGATATCCCATTACACAACACACACTTAATGACTTCTGTATTTTCTGTACCTGATGTATTAGAGTATAAAATTCTTCTGATGTCCATTTTAAACCCTTTTTAAAATTTCTTCTTTCTCTCCCCTCCTCCTCCCCCTTCTCCCCCGTCTTCTCTTCTTCATTACATTATATTATAGTTGTCCCATGTTATACATGTATGGTCAGTGGACAGCTGATTCTTCCTCTGTCATATGGGTCTGGGAATAGAGCTGAGGTTACCAGGCTTGGTGAGAAGCTACTTTATGGCAGGAACCACCTCATTAGCCCTCCTCTGATATTGTCTTTGCGTTTTCCTAAAAACTCCTTTAAAATAGATGTATTTTTATTTGTGTGTGTGTGTGTGTGTGTGTGTGTGTTTATGTGTGTGTATCCATGTGCATGTGCTTGTAGGTGCCAATGGAGGCCAGAAGATGGTTTCAGATTTCCTGAAGCTGGAGTTACAGGAATCGTGAGTCTCCTGACATGGGTTCAGGGTACTGAACTCAGGTAGTCCGGAAGAGCATCAGGTGTCCTTAGCTGTCCAGTCATTTCTCCAGCCCCAAGAAACTCCTTAGGAGTCCACACCCACAGGTCTTACAGTTTTAATCTGATAGCTGTTGTTGATGTGGTAAATTGATGGGGATTAGAGGTGTTGCATATCCTAGGACTAGGTCTTCATCTTTTGTTGGACTCTTGCCCTGGCTCTGACTTTTCACTAGTGATTCTTGACCCTTTCTTCTTCATTAGACTAGAGTGCTAGAGAGATAGAGTTACATTTTTCCCTTTTGTTGGGACCTGCTTTTCTTTTTTGCAGGAAAGCTTAGAGATTTTCTCTAGATTTTAGCTAGAGAATGAGGTAGACCTCCTAACTCACGTAATGCTCCTTATTAAGGTGGGGCTTCTCAGAGCTTTTATCTTTCAAACCAGGCTACATTCATTGTCTTTGAAGTTTTCTTCTAGTTGTTGATTTTAGAAGTGAGTTTTGATAAGCTCTTGTTCTCTTTAGTTTTCTACATGGTTGTTTGCTCTGGGATGGCACTTCTCTGTTGGACCTGAGAATTGTTGATTTTTCAGTTTGTTCAACATTTTCATGATTATAAAAATGGGAATGATTTGTTTAACTCGGATGGTATTTTACGAAGTTTTTATTTATTTGTATGGGTGTTTTGTCTGTCTGTCTGTGCACCAACGAATGAAGCGTGGTCCTAATTGGTCTTGTCAATAAAATCCTAGAGTCAGATATTGGGGTAAAAGCTGAAAGATCAGAGAAGCAAAGGAGCAGCCATAGTCACTTCTTACCTCTCTGAATCTTCTACCGAAAGGGCCAAGATCCTGTCTATGCCCTTACCACTTCCTGTTTCTGCCCTGTACTGTCACTGTCTCTACTTTGTACAGACCTCCAGACCTCTATGATTAACTAGTGGCCAGCTCTATCCTCTACCTTTATTTGTCAGAACACAAACAAAATATCATGGAGGTCAGTGATGTGAGATGTCCTTCTGTATGCTGCAAATATGTGTTGTTTTTATTGGTTGATGAATAAAACTGTTTCAGTCAATGTTTACTTAGCAGAGTAAAGCCAGGCAGGAAATCCAGGTTGGGGTGGGATGGGGTGTGGGGGTAGGGGTGGGGAAGTGGGCAGGATTGAGGAGACTCCATGTAGCTGCTGGAGAGGCAAGATGCCAAGGCATCACTGGTGAGCCACAGCCATGTGGTAATACACAGATT